CCAGGTAAGCGAAAATTTCTCTAGGTTAAGATTTGCCGAGTCACGCCTTTAAGACCGCTCACGTTGATGGGCGGAGCTAGCGTTTCTGTTTCTACCTTCTGTGGCACTATTCTCGCTCTGGATTTCATCTTTTATGGCGAGACTTGGGCTATTGCTTAGTTAGGGGTCCCGCTATCGTATAACCAAAACTTCAACACTTAATTTGGGTGAGCGGCCATCAAAGGAGAATGGTCCATACCTCGATTTGCTCTATCACCCATTCTTCACAGATTTCGTCTCCTCGATTTCGTAGCACTCGCAAACTTAGCGTCTCAGATCTACACATTCCATGGGCTAGAAATCAAAGGTATGGTTGAGTAAACTATAATCCAATCCAAAAATACCTCGATCCGAGAAGCTGTCAAAGATGCAACCAGTTTCTTGATGATTGCAGAGCACTGAGTTGAAAAAAGTAGGAAAACAATTCTCACTGAGCATATAGACGCCACGGCACACTAGAAACAAACCGTTACAAAATTATAACTATTAGATAGGTCAATTAATAATCTTGATCTGACTCTAGAAAATTCTACTTCATTATCAATACTACTATCAATTACTACTTGAAGCGAACGCTCTACGAGATTATTTCCTCCCCATAATTTTTTAACAACTCGTACAATTCTGACCCTCATACAAACCAAAGATCACATTCAAAAACTCAAGTGTGTGAAAAATGGATTCTTTGCTTCCTTCTTCCTCCCCATCCCCCGCCCCCTTCTTCCTCTGGGACCTTACAAACCTTTCGTTTCTTTAGGCGTATACTAAACGTATCAAACCATTTGTGCAGATAACGTCCTCCTTTTTATCCAAAAATATATGAAAAGGTAGTCGAAAAATGCCCCCCCCCTCCCCGTCGACCCCAACATTTGTCTGGATGCGAGCAATGGCAAACTCCGCCCCTTAGGTGAGACAAAACTTTCTCTGAGATCGCTGTCCGGAAATTTTTTTGGAATCCTTACAAGTTTTTCTAGGGCCTACAGCACTGAAATTCAAAAAAGGCGTTATGAAGGCAGACAAGCTCCAAAGGAATTATTTTACAAAAGCTTGTTTGAATTTTTGGAAACTTCTAAAAACTGTTGTGAAAACTGAGTGTCAGAACGCTTCCTCAGTTGAAAAATATCAAGTTTAAAACAGAATTGCTTCATGGGACTACTCTACGTGCTAAAATATGATTGCACCAAATAGCGAAACTTACCTGAGCAAAGCTGTTCATGAGCCCATGAGACTTCTTGACCCGGTTCGCTACAGTTTCCAAGCGCCACGAAAGTCTCTAAAAGATTGGGAAGTTTTTTAGAGAAGGCAAAACTAACGAGGAAAGATTATCAAGTCGATACAGCCTAGGGTAACAAAACATGTTTGGTTTATCTCGGTTTGGAACGCTAAGTTGAAATCTGTATTCATTATCTGCTAAATGGTTTTTTGAAAATAACATTTTTGGCTACAGGCTACCTATTGAGATTATGTAAGAGAAAGCAAGTGCTCAACATAGTGGCAGTTGGAGAAGTGGTAAGCGTGACGCTTTGTAAGCAGATGGTCGCAGGTTCGATCTTGTCGCGGGCGGTTGTTCTGCATTACGATAAACGTGGTCGTAACCGTTTTTGAAAGACTGTTCAGCAGATAGCGAATGCACATTTGAACTCAGCATTCCAAATCGAGATAAACCGCATATGTCTTGTCTCAAACGGCTGAATTGACTTCGTAGCCTTTTTTTGTAAGGGCTATTTTTTACCGAGTGCACAGTTTCCCCTCGGGGCGCCTAGGGTCTCCCCTTCGTCTACTATCTCCGGTCCAGCATCACCAAGGGGTGATGACGATTGCGGTGACATGAACATCACTGGAGCTCGTACTCGTGGCGGTTGACGCACTGTTTTTCTCCTTGGAGGCCTCACTTTTGCTTTTCGCCGTTCTTCCAAAGCTTGAGTGAGTTTCGAACGAATCATTTGACATTCTCGGCCGCAAAATGGTGCAGCGGGTCCGCCAGTGAATAGCTGGAACGAAATTATTTGCATGAAATGAGAAATGTTTGGGTTATTGACGATGACCTACTCCTTCGCTTGTATCCGCTGAGAGTGTTTTGAGCTTCGGTTCTGCCTGTGCTGATGGTGAGACAAAACCTAACGATGCCTCGGCTGGGGTCTAAATCAAATCTTGATGGAAAAACCTTGAAAGCTTTCGTATTAGCAAAGAACGGTTAGACCTCGAGTCCCTAGATTGTACACGAGACCCTAATGCGTTTGCCCTCTACCAGTCGCGCACC